AATAGCTGGAATGGTTCCAAATTTGGTGAAACCCACAGATTCAAAAAGCTCAGCAAACACTAAGCCATAGATAAACACAAACCCCTCCCCAGACAAGTCATAATCAAACTGATGAAGACTAAAGACAAAAATCTTGTGCACAGAGAAAAATGACATTACTTTAAAGGGAACAGTGTAAATCACTAGATTTCTGATCAAAAACGAGGCTAGAAGGAAATGAAATACATTCTTTTAAAATTTTTTAAGTTGGTTTATTTTGAGAGAGAGAGCACATGTGTGCATGCACAATTAGGGGAAGAACAGAGAGAGAGGGAGAGAGGGAATCCCAAGCAGGCTCTGCACTGAAGCACAGAATTTTAAAGTGCTGAAAGAAAAGAATTGTCAATCCAGAATTTTTTATCTAGTGAAAATATCCCTCAGAAATGGGAGGTGAAATAAATATTTTCAGATGAAGGAAAACTAAGAGCAGTCATTGACAGCATACCTGCTCTAAAGTAACTGCTAAGAGGGGCGCCTGCGTGGCTCAGTCGGTAAAGTGTCTGACTTTGGCTCAGGTCATGATCTCACGGCTTGTGAGTTCGAGCCCCACGTTGGGCTCTGGGCTGACAGCTCAGAGCCTGGAGCCTGCTTCAGATTCTGTGTCCCTCTCTCACTCTGCACCTCCCCTGCTTGTGCTCGCTCGCTCTCCCTCGTGCTCTCTCTCAAGAATAAAAAAAAAAGAAAGTAACTGCTAAGAAAGCTCTTAAGATAGAAATCTGGAAGGTTAAGAATGAAGAAACAGCAACAGCAAGATCTGGGCAAGTATAATGAACTATTCTCCAGTTGAATTCTTTAAAATATGTTTGGTTGACAAGAAAATATGGCATTGTCTGATGGGGCTTTTAATGTATGTAGATGTAATGCGTAAGACAACTATAACATAAGGGGGGAAATAAAGAGACTCATTCTGGAGGTAAGGTTTCTAAGGTTCACTTGACATGGTAAAACAGTGATTCTAAGTAGATGAGGTCTATTAGAACTCCTTAGAGCAATTACTAAATTATATGAAGAGATTTTGTCAAACATGATGAATTAAAGTGGAGTTCTGAAAACTCTTCAAATCCAAAAGAATACAGAAGACTTTTTTTATTTTTTTAAGTAAGCTCTATTCTCAGTATGGGGCTTGAACTCATGACTCTGAGGATCAAGAGTTGCGTGCTCTGGGGCACCTGGGTGGCTCAGTTAGTTAAGTATCTGACTTCAGCTCAGGTCATGATCTCACAGTTCATGGATTCACGCCCGCATCAGGCTTTGTGCTGACAGCTCAGAGCCTGGAGCCTGGAGCCTGCTTCAGATTCTGTGTCTCCCTTTCTCTCTGCCCTCCCCTGCTTGCATTCTGTCTCTGTCTCTCAATAAATAAACGTTTAAAAAAATTTTTTTTGCATGCTCTATCTACCAATTGAGCCAGCGAGGCACCCCCAGAAGACTTTAAAAAAAATTTTTTTTTAAACATTTATTCATTTTTGAGAGAGGGAGAGAGAGCACGAGTAGGGGAGGGGCAGAGAAAGAGGGAGACACAGAATCAGAAGCAGGCTCCAGGCTCTGAGCTGTCAGCACAGAGCCCGACATGGGGCTCAGAACTCATGAACCATGAGATCATGACCTGAGCCGAAGTCAGACGCCTAACCGATTGAGCCACCCAGGCGCCCCCAGAAGACTTTTTTAAAAACAGAAAGCAGGGATCCTGGGATGGCTCAGTTGGTTAAGCATCTGACTATGGCTCAGGTCATGATCTCACGATTCGTGAGTTTGAGCCTTGCATCAGGCTGTCTGCTGTCAGCGCAGTGTGTGCTTCAGATTCTTGGTTGCCCCCCTCTCTTCCCCTCCCTGCTCACTTCTTTCTCTCTCTCAAAAATGAATTTAAAAAAACATAAAACAGGAAATAATTGGTAGGTCAAATGATAGCAATAATTGATATTTAGAAGACATGGCTTCAGTTCATTAATTGAGATTATAAAACTATAAGCCAGTATTACTCATGAATATAAACACAGCAAAATAAGAGCTTTAGCAAACTAAATCCAATGACACATAAAAGGTGTTACACATGATGAAAAAGTAGGATTCATACCAGGAACGCAAAATTGGCTTAACATCTGAAAATCAGTCAACGGTAATACATCATATTTATAGAATAAGAACAAAAAAGTGTATGATCATCTCAACGGACACAAGAAAAAGCAGTTAACAAGTCCATTTGATAACATGCTCATCAAACAAATAGAAGGGAGCTTTTCAGGGGCGCCTGGGTGTTTGACTCTTGATTTCAGCTCAGGTCACGATCTCACAGTTAGTGGGATTGAGCCCCGCATCAGGTTCTGTGCTGAGCATAGAGCCTGCTTGGGATTTTCTCTTTTCCTCTCTGACCCTCACTTGCTCATGCGCACATGCACTCTCTCAAATAAATAAAGAGGGGGGTGCTCTTCAGCCTAATAAAGTACATCTATAAAAGCCCATAGCTAAGCATATTTAGTGATGTAAGAGTGAATGTTCTCTCCCTAAGATCATGAACACAACAAGGCTGTGGATGTCTGCTCTCACGACTTCTACCTAACATTGTATTCAGGCATTTAGGCAAGAAAATGAAATAAAAGGCATTCAGATTGGAAAGGAAACAATTTGTAGACGACACGATCTCATATACAGAAAATCTTAAAGTACCCACTAAAAGTAACGAGTTCAGCAAGGTAGCAGGAAACCTTACCATCTATTGATTCTTTGGCACATAGGTGTCTTAATTTCTGTACTTTAAAAAAAATATTTTTAATGTTTACTTTTGAGAGAGTGGGGGAGGGACAGAGAGAGAGAGACAGAATCCAAAGCAGGCTCCAGTCTCTGAGCTGTCAGCACAGAGCCCAACGCAGGGCTCGAACCCACGAGCCATGAGGTCATGACCTGAGTCGAAGTTGGATGCTTAACTGACTGAGCCACCCAGGTGCCCCTTCTGTACTTTTCTTTATACTCCAAATGTTCCATAACTTAAAAGTGAAAAAGAACTGGGCGCAGCATTCCGCAGTCTCATGCTAGGCTGGCTGCATAAGACCACACAGACATCTTGTTAAAGGGATTCTGGAGCTCTGTCCTGACCTACTCACTCAGCTGTTCCGGGTATCAGATGGGAATGTGGATTCAGTAAACCAAACCTCTCCAGGCAATTCTGATACAAGCAGGTTTAGGAACCAGTGTGACCATTCTCCAAATGCCTAACGTGGAGTCCTATAGGACTGCCCCTCCCTTATTCTCGATGGGGAACATCTGTTGATACAGTCTACAATTTTATTAGCTTTTGGTGGGAAGATTGTCCAGAGTAAGGAGACAGTCTTTTTCAGTGTGGAAAACATTTTTCAGTGTGTTATAGAAGAAGAGCTGAAGGAACTGAAGTTATCTGGCCTCAAATAAAGAACTGTAGCAATTGTCAAATGTTACAAAGTAGGGCATGGATATAGAATTTTGGTTAAGCTTAAATTTCTTTAGCTTCACTGGGTGGAACCAGCTTTTGGTCTAAATAAGTAAGGGCTTAATAATTGAATGGTTTGCTATTTTGAAGTTGTAGATGACTTATTCCCGGAAATAGAGGCTGTTAGGAATGCTAGGGCATTCCTGCATAGGCTGGAAGGTTGACATAAATAACATAAAAGATCCTTTTCAATGATAAGGGTTTTTTCCCCCTTTATGACTATTTGTTGTTTTTTGGTTTTTTTTTTTACAATGATCATAGAAATATTAAGATTTCTTTTTTTCTTTTTCTTCTAGAAAGAAATAATGCTTAATTGTCCCTCTGCCCCCAGTTGTGTTTTGGAAGTTCTTTCTTTTCAGCAAAGGAATCTTTTTCTATCTCCATATTCCTGTCATAAGTGCCATTTTACCAAGTCTGAGGGATACCTGTGGGATTATATTTACTTCCTGTTAAAGAATTTTATTGAGGCGCCTGGCTGGCTCAGTCGGTGGAGCATGCAACTCTTGATCTTGGCGTTGTGAGTTCGAGCCTCACTTTGGGCGTAGAGATTACCTAAAAATATTAAAACCATAAATAAACAAACAGTTTTACTTATCACTAGTATTGTGTGCTTTTTATAGTAGTATTCTTATTTCTTATTGGTTTCTTAAAACTGTGGGCTTCTCACTATAGAGTTGAAGGGTGGAAAGATAAATTTGGTCTTTTTATTTGTTTTTAATGTTTGTTTATTTATTTTTAATTTTTTTAATGTTTATTCATTTTTTTGAGAGACAGACTGAGAGTACAAGCAGGGGAGGGGCAGAGAGAGGAGACACAGAGTCCGAAGCAGATCTCAGGCTCTGAGCTGTCAGCATAGAGCCTGATGCGGGGCTTGAACTCATGAACTGTGAGATCATGACCTAAGCCGAAGTCGGCTGCTTAACCGACTGAGCCATCCAGGCGCCCCAGTGTTTGTTTATTTTTGAGAAAGAAAGCGAGCATGAGTGGGTGAGGGGCAGAGATAGGACACAGAATCCAAAGCAAGCTCCAGGCTCTGAGCTGTCAGTGCAAGGCTGACACGGGGCTCAAATTCATGAACCTTGAGATCATGACCTGAGCCAAAGTTGGACACTCAACCAACTGAGCCACCCAGGTGCCCCAGATTGGGTCTTTTTAAATAAAGGTCACTATTTAGAAAATGAATACTGTTCTTGTTAATTAATAAAATACCTTACAACGTAATCATCTCTCTTGTAGGGTCAAGAGACATTTCATACCTCTGTAAGGGCCTTGTACCTGTGTATTTGTTCATTGTCGCTTTTCCAGGAGCCATAAACTTTAAAGCATAACTCGCCTGCAGTACCTCATTACAGTAGTCTGTGCTGAACTGAGTGGCTCCTTGACAAAACAGTTAAAATGTCTAGTAGATTATTGTACTTCTAACCTGAGATTGAAAAAGGTTTGGCGGTTTGTTTTTATAAAGCTGTCCTCATTACCAGCATTAATTGAGTTTTATTTTTCACAGAAAAATTTTGAAAGATCTATCCTCTGAAGATACACGGGGCAGAAAAGGAGACGGAGAAAACCCTGGAGTTTCTGCTGTCACTTCTATGTCTGTTCCAACTCCCATCTATCAAACTAGCAGTGGACAGTACAGTACGTATAGGAATACGTTTTTCCATGATGGATACACAAACGCTAAAGAAGTGGTGTATAGAAAGACTGTCATGCTTTAATAGTGAGGATAATTAGTTGAAGGTTAGCATTTTGAGCCCAAAATAATGCAGAATACCTTTTCAGCATTATCTCATTTACTCCTTACAGCAACTTTATGAGGTAGGCAGTTATCAATTTATGAGGAAACTGAGCCTTAGAGAGGTTAGACAATGTCCCTACACACAGCTTGTAAGTGATGCTTACTTTGGAGTTTTGACAGATGCATGGAGTTGTCTAACCACCACAGTCAAGATATAATTTCATCACCCCATGGAATTCTTTGTGCTGTCCGTTTGTAGAGGATTTTTCCTCCCATTCCTAACTCCTGTTCAAGTCTAATTGACTCTTGCCACAAAATCTGTGTCCCGTCCCCTCACGTCTCACACCTCCAATCACCACCATTACCCTGGCTTATACTCCTGTCTGAATTACTGCAGTGCACGTCCACTTGGTCATTTTGCTTCCATTCTTGCTCTCGTTTTCCATACTGCAGCCAAAGCAGCTTATTTAAAATGTCCATTAGATCACACCACTTTTGCTCCAGTGACTCTCCATCACCCCTAGAATAAGTCCTATAAGGCTAAGTTCCATTCAAGATCTGGCCTCACTTACCAAACTCCAATCTCATCTGCCACTGGCTAGCATTCTAGCAACACTGACTTTCTTGGAATTTCTCCAACATGAAACTTGTTTCTGCCTCAGGATATTTGGGCTTGTCACCCCACTGCCTGGCACATTCTTCTCCCAGAGTCTCATGTGGATGGCTTTTACATCCTTACTTCTGCTCAAGTGTCACTTCTCAAAGAGACCACTCTTCATTAAAATGTGCTCTCTTTAGTTAGCTTTCTTACATTTTTCATAGCATTTATATATAATTATTAAAAAGTACATATTTAATTATAGATTATACATAATTATAGATCAGTTTATTTATGATCTGTTCTCAAAGATAAGTTCCCTGAGAGAAAGAACTTTGTCTTGTTCACAGCTGTATTCTTGGCCTGGAGGCCCTGGCGCATAGTAAGCTTTCAGTGAAATTTGTCATGAATAAGTTATTTAAAGAATATGTAAAAAACACCTCAATGAGGACACATAAGAAACTGAGAACAGTGGTTGCAAGGAAGGAGACCTGGGAACAAAGATCAGAGGCAGTTGAGAAGTTCACTTTCATTTTAAACAAAACTGATTTTTCTTTCCATACGCATCCATTACTGTTTTCAAAAATCTTTTTCTTTCTTTGTTTTAAATTTTTTTAATGTTTTTATTTACTTTTGAGAGAGAGAGACAGAGCACAAGCAGGGGAGGGGCAGAAAGAGAGGGAGACACAGAATCTGAGGCAGACTCCAGGCTCCAAGCTGTCGGCACAGAGCCCGATGTGGGGCTTGAACCCACGAACCATGAGGTCATGACCTGAGCTGAAGTTGGACACTTAACTGACACCCCAAAATAAATACAATTCAAACTGGTGTTTAAGACAGCATGATCCAATAGAACTTCCTTGCTGAAAATGTTTTATATTTGCATTGTCTAGTATAGTAGCCACTAAGCCATGTGTGACTGTTGAGCACTTGAAATGTGGCTCGTGAGACTGAGGAACTGAATTTCTTATCTTGCTTTCAGTTAATTAATAGTCCTATGTGACTAATGGCTACCGTATCAGTGTAGATTTAGAGTAGATTCAACCAGATAAATATACATGTTAAAAATAGGAAGATAGGTTATAAAAATGAAAACAATTCTGTATTATTACATATGTTTAACATCAAAAGATGTATCTCTCGGGGTGCTTGGGTGGCTCAGTCAATAAGCGTCTGACTTCAGCTCAGGTCATAATCTTGCAGTACGTGAGTTTGAGCTCCGCATTGGGCTCTGTGCTGACAGCTCAGAGCCTGGAGCCTGCTTGGGATTCTGCCTCCCTCTCTCACTCTGCCCCTCCTCTGATCATGTTCCGTCTCTGTCTCTCTCAAGAATAAATAAACATTAAAAAAAAAAAAAAGGATTGTACTTATTTCAATTATAACATATGAAATATCTCCCTAAGTTTCTATGTAGTTTTCATAATTCCTAATTTTAATTGTTTTAGAATAAGCCATATTAATATGTCATAATTTTTAACGTGCTGATATGCTACTTTTCTTAAAGAATTTTTTAGGGGTGCCTGAGTGCTCACACTCTGTCTCTCTCTCAAAAATAAATAATAAACATTTAAAAAAATGTATACATATGTGTGTATGGATACACATTTTGATGTGTGTTAATGTATCAGTCTATATGAACATAGGAAATGATTAGGAAGAGGATGTACATCGAAAATGGTTACCCCAGAATAAGGGTGTGGGGTGGCCAGTAGAATAAATTGGGATAGAGAATAGGACTTTTTATTTTACTTATATATTTACATTTATATATATGTATATATATAATGTGTGTTGGAGAGAAGGCGATTGAAAACAATTGCTAATATAAGTTTAAAACAAATGTCTGCATCTAAAAAATCTTAAACTGTCATTACTTCTAAAGTCATATAAATTAAAGTATGTAGAATATTTGTTGTGTGGTAGTGGATGAGAGATAATTATATACTCCTGAAAAAAAATATTTTCAATTAAAACATACATTCAGATAAGTGTGTTTTGGCTTCCTGGTACCCAGAGTATAAAAGGAGAAAAAAAGTTGCATAATTATAATCTGATAAGAGGGCACAGAGATGAGGCATTAGAGTCTGAAGGGGATTTATTACGTGGGATTGCATAATGGTAAAATGTTTTCCATTTGATCATATCTTATGGGTGTTTCATGTAAGGTTTGAGAGGAAAGCATTAACATAAGTATAATTCATTGAGGGGCGCCTGGGTGGCCCAGTTGGTTAAGCATCTGGCTCAGGTCATGATCTCACAGTTTGTGAGATCGAGCCCCGCGTTGGGCTTCTGCTCTTCTGCTCTGCGCTGACAGCGTGGAGCCTGCATGGGATTCTCTCTCTCTCTCTGCCCCTCCCCTGCTCACTCACTCTCAAAATAAACAAACATTAAAATATATATACACACACACACATATATATAACTCATTGAAAAATGCTGTGGGGCACATAGTAATGTGACCTCTTTCTCATGACAACCTTATTGGTGATTTTCACTAGGAAGTAACTTGAATAGATTACATTTTTAAAATATCACTTAAGTAAATAACATTTAGTACAATTTAATAGTGGTTACCCCTAGACAGCAGAGCTCAGAAACAAAGTATGAAGATATATATATTTTCATTATGTAACCTTTTATCCTCTTAAAAATTTTCCCATAGGCATAGGCCCGTTTAATCTATTCAAAAATATTTTTAAGCTTATCATCTTTTTAATGCTTCTTTTGAATAAAAATACACAGTGTGTTAATGTTTCCTTCTACTGATTTTTCCTTTAAAAGTTAGCCATTGGTACCCTCTTCTAATGTTCCAGAACTGCTGTGACAGCATTAGCAATTAGCATGCAGTGCTCCATTGAGCCCATAATGTGTCTTGACTAATCTACAGTTTGAGACTAAATTTAAGATTAGTGCACCTGAACTATAAAATTTTATAAAGAAATGCCATTTTATTTCTTTGACATATAGTTCACCCAAAGTAGTTAACAGTTACCAAGTGGAACTGCATTCAGACCTGTTTTAATAAGTAGTGGCTGGGTTTTTTTTTCACCAATCCTTTGCAATTAGTGTATTGTACAGCCTTACAATAGCTATGTTCTCTCTTTGGTTAAAGTTGCCATTGCCCCAAATGGAGCCTTACAACTGGCCAGCCCAGGCACAGATGGAGTACAGGGACTTCAAACATTAACCATGACAAATTCAGGCAGTACTCAGCAAGGGACAACAATTCTCCAATATGCACAGACCTCTGATGGACAGCAAATACTTGTGCCCAGCAACCAGGTGGTTGTACAAAGTAAGTATGTTTAAGTGTCTGTGGAAAACATCCCAATGTACTTTCAAAGACACTTAGGAATTAACTCACTCTTCTGACCACACAGCTGCATCAGGAGATATGCAGACGTATCAGATCCGTACCACACCTTCAGCTACTTCGCTGCCACAGACTGTGGTGATGACATCTCCTGTGACTCTTACATCTCAGACATCTAAGACAGATGACCCCCAACTGAAGAGAGAAATAAGGTTGATGAAAAACAGGTAGGTGGTAAAATTGTGCTGCCAGTAACGTTTCTGTAAATCTCAAAACGTAACCAGGTGTTAACTGGAATTGTGAGTTAAAAATGAGAGCGTTTGGGGTGCCTGGCTAGCTCAGTTGGTGGAGCACAACTTTATCTTGGGCTTGTGAGTTTGAGCCCCACACTGGCCGTAGATAGAGCTTACTTTAAAAAAAGAGAGCTTTATTTTACTGAGTGTTATGTTGTATCTAGTTCATTTCCAAAGGATCCCATTGCTCAATCTCTTTACTTAATATGTGACCTAGAGTTCTTTCATTTTTATTTTGTCTTTTGAATAGTACTATTAAGCAGAGCTTTTCAAACAGTATATTTTGTTCTTGCTGGGCTGACAAAAGTTAAATGAAAATAATAATTTGCTGCTTGCCATTGACAGTGAGAAGAGGAAAGAATTCCTAAAAAACTGATGGACACAGAAATGCTAAAAATGAATTTTACCCATGAATATATATCAGTGATTTAACCTCCAGAAACATTTACTTTCATTTTAAATGTATTTTAAACATAGTTGTATCAGCTATATGTACATCAGCCATGAAAACCACCAGTTCTTTGAGAAAAAGAATATAATGGGTACCCTTCTGTAGTGAGTTTAAGGGGAAAAAAAAGAGAGAAAGGACACTAATAAAACCTATATTAGGAATCAAAAAGGGTAGATACCCACATATAAAACAAATATTTAAAAAATTACAGGATTCTGTTTTTAACTCCTCTAAGTTAGAAAATTAGAATAAAAGGATGATTTTCTAGAGCAATAAAAATGATCATACAAGGACCAGAAGGATGCATTTAATTACTTCAAGATAAAATGTTTCTTTACTAAAAACTAAGAGCGAGCATCATCGTAATGAACTTAGTAACATGGCAGGGATTGTCCATTGTCTTGGAGGTTCCAACAAATGCAATAAGACAAGGATCTGAAGTAAGTTATGTAAATACTAGAAAAGAAGAGCCGTGTTTTTTTGTTGATGATATGGTTGTGTACCTAGGATACCCAAAAGATTTGTTAAGAATTACGTGAATGAGGCTTCTCTTTCTGATAAATCGACCTCGCTATGTAATATTATTAAAAGCTTGATGAAATATAAAAACCACCCTTTTAAATGATTGGATGAGCCTCCAGGGAAGTAAGAGATATCTATTGAGGTTAGGAATCAGTCAGAAGCACAAGACCATGAAGTTCATAAGCACTGAAGCAACCCCTGTATAATCTGTAAATAAATTCATATCTTTGTGATTGGTATAGCTTTGGTATGCAGAGGGGACTAGGGGCAAAACCTGGGGTCTGTGCAACCTGGGGGAACTGGATCAGAGATTGTTATTCTTCATGAAGTCAAGACCCAAGCATAGTTGACCCTTGAACAATGGAGGCGTTGGGGCGCTGACCCCCACCCCCATGCCATTGAAAATCTATAATTTTTGACTCCCCAAAAACTGAGTTGACTAGAATCCTTACTGATAACATAAACAGCCAATTAACACATATTTTTTATGTTATATGTAGTTATATATACTGTATTCTTACAACAAAGTAAGCTAGAGAAAAAATACTAAGAAAATCATAAGGAAGAGAAAATACATTTATGGTACCATATTAAAAAAAAATCTGCATATAAGTAGACTCACGCGGTTCAGACCCGTGTTGTTCAAGAGTCAGCTGAAATTTAAAAATGGTCTGGGTCCATAGTTCCCCAACTTTTTGGAAGAAAGCAGTCTTAACACAGCCTTTAACAAATTCCCATACATTGAGTTCTAACAAATACAAGTTGAAAAATCACAGACTGTCCAAGGAATTAGGCCTCCATCATCATATGTGCCAAGCCTTTATGTTACTTTCACAAAAATCTTTGAGGTGTATATAATATTATTTCCAGTTTTTCTGAGATGAGGAAACTGAGGCTTAGGTTAATTTCTTTGCCCAAGGTTAAACTACTCAGTAAGCGGTAGAGGTAGGATTTAAACACACGGGTCCAGGTTTCAGAGTCCAAAGACTTAGATATTCGATAATACTGCACTACCTTTCAGGAGCAAGAGTCATCAGAAAGAGCACACAACAGAACAACTTTTGTAAAGCCTTCAGTTATCTGTCTACTAGATTTAAAGAAAAAAAAGGGTGTCCTTGAAAATCATCAAAGATCAAGAGACTATAAAAATGATAAAAATTGGAAAAGAAAAAATAAAATCGCTCTCCGTAGCAAATATTCATCTGCTTAGAATATCCAGGAGATCATGTACAAAGTATTAGAAAGCTTGAAAAATAACCAGCATTGTACTGGAAACCTTTAACCATTTAGTAGTAAAACAAGAACAGAGGGTATTATGAGGATTTAAATGAAAGGAAATCCTTACCTACTATTTTTTATATAATTGCCTATTTTTTAAAATGGACTTACAGAAAAATTATTAGAAGTAATGAATTTATAACATTGCTAAATATAACACCAGGTTTCAAAAATCGTATTTCTTTACATCAGTAATGGTTTGGTAAATAATTATTTAAAAGACACCATTTATGTTATCAACAAAATATCAGAGAAGAAATCTAACAACAAAAGATCTCCAGGACAGTTATGAAAAATATTGTACAATGTCTTTGAAAGACCTTAAGGAAGATCTAAATAAAACGGAGAAATAAATACTATGTCCATAGATATGGAAACTCAGTATTATAAAGATGACTATTTTTCCCCCAATTGATCCATAGATTCAATGCAGTTCCAATCAAAACCTAAACAGGTTGTTTGAAGAACTTGACAAGTTGATACTAAAATTTATAGAAGAGTAAAGGGCCAAGAACAGCCAAAATATTCCAGACAAGAATAAGGTGAGGAGGTATCAAGTTTTATTTAAAGCTGTGGTAATTGAAATAATGTGATAGTGGCATTGAGGAAAAAAAAAAAAATTGACCAATGAAATAGCTCAGAAACTGATCCATGGACACAGGACAGATTATTGGGGGAAGGAGGGACTCTTCAATAAATGGTATTAGGATAATTATTGATAAATGAAAAAATACTGGATTTCTTCCTCACACCATACACAAAATCATTGCAGAGAGATTAAAGACACAGATGTGAAAGATGAAATTTTGAAACTTTTAAGTGAAAATACATAATCTTATGGTTTCAGGATTAGGAAAAGATAACTTAAAACAATGCACACCCCTCCCACAAACATTAACACAAAAGATTAATGAATCTTCATTAAAATTAATAATTTCTGTTCATCTATAGAGTGAAAATACAAGCTCCAACCCTATAGAAGATACTTGAAACATATCTAACAACAACAAAAAGATTTGTTAGAAAAAACCAAAAATATCTTCTAAGTTATTAAGTACAACCTAATGGAAGAAAAATTGGCAAAATATATGAATAGGCATTTCTCAGAAAACACAAGTGGTTAATAATCGTATGAAAGATTATTCACCCTTATCAATCAGTAATCAAAGAAATGCAAATTAATACCACACATTTAGTTACCATTTATCCCCACCGAATTGGCAAAAATCTTCAAAGTCTAACCAGGAAGTGGCAAGGATTTGAAACAGTGAAACTCAGAGACTGCCTATGGCAGTGAAAGTTGGTACAGTCACTTTGGATTAATTGGCCTTATCTTGTACAGTTGACCTGGATATGCTCTATGAGCTGTTTCACTCTGTGTATGTGACTGAGACTTTTGCAGGAAGTATGCATAAAAATGTTCACAACAACAAAAATCAGGAAACGGGCTCCTGGGTGGCGCAGTCGGTTAAGCGTCCGACTTCAGCCAGGTCACGATCTCGCAGTCCGTGAGTTCGAGCCCCACGTCAGGCTCTGGGCTGATGGCTCAGAGCCTGGAGCCTGTTTCCGATTCTCTGTCTCCCTCTCTCTCTGCCCCTCCCCCGTTCATGCTCTGTCTCTGTCCCAAAAATAAATAAACATTGAAAAAAAAATTAAAAAAAAAAAAATCAGGAAACAACCTGAATAGTAACAGAATGGACACATAAATTTTGGTTGTCTTTATTCAATCTGATAGTGTTCATGTGTATTGATTGATCACTGTAACATGAATAAGTATTAGGAAAATAAAGTTAAGTGAAAACAAGTTGTAACAGAATACATAAAGTATCATATTTTAAAATAAGTTTTAGGGGTGCCTGAGGCTCAGTCGGTTAAGCGGCCGACTTCGGCTCGGGTCATGATCTCACAGCCCATGAGTTCGAGCCCTGCGTCGGGTTCTGTGCTGACAGCTCAGAGCCTGGAGCCTGTTTCGGATTCTGTGTCTCCCTCTCTCTGACCCTCCCCCGTTCATGCTCTGTCTCTGTCTCAAAAATAAATAAACGTTAAAATAACTTTTAGAATATAAGCAAACTAAATTATATACAATTTAGAGATGTATAAATATTACTGAAACCATGAAAATAAGTAAAAGATTGAAGCTAGTAATTGCTTCCGGGCAAGAGGCAGGGTTACGGAATCAGGAAATAGCACAGAAATTTCTTCAACAGTATAGATCATATGTTCTCTTATTAAATCAGGTGTTGGGTTTACATGTGTTCATTTTATTTATTATTATGCTTCATAACATTACACCACATACAGTCTTTTGTGTGTATAGTATATCATAATAAATTTTTTTAATTAACAGTGATTTATAAGGAAATTTAGTAAGTTTTTCTATGAATTACCATCTTGAAAATAATAATGGGAAGTAATATTCGCATTAGTGGCAAAAAAATCATAAAACCCTTAGTAAACTCAATAGGAAGATCACATTTAAGTTTATTTATTTTGAGAGAAAACTAGAAAATGAGCAGGGGAGAGGCAGAGAGAGAGGGAGACAGAGAATCCCAAGCAGGCTCCACGCTGTCAGCACAGAGCCCAATGTGGGGCTCAAACTCACAAACCATGAGATCATGACCTGAGCCAAAACCAAGAGTCAGATGCTTAACCAGTTGAGTCACCCAGGTGCCCCTAAAATACACATAAATTTAATGTGATTCAAACTAGAACCTCTTTAGATCTCCATGGAATTGGACAACATAAGATGAGAGTTTACATGAAAGAAAAAAGTGTTCTAGAATGGTCAAGAACAGGAACAGGAAGAGGTTACTTGTTCCATTAGGCATTAAAACATACTCTCTAAAACCACTGTAATCAAAACTTGGTATCAGCACAGGAGCAGACAATAACATTAGCAAACAAGATAGAGCCCAGAAATAGCTTTTTATGCTAGTTAAGTACAGTACTTCTAAAGGGTGGCATATTTAATAAATGTTAACTGACACCGCATCTGAAAGAAAATTAGACTCCTCTATTTTATATCACATATGAAAGTAATTCCAAATGGATTAAAGACTTAATTGTGAAAAATTAAGCAAGAAAATTATCTTTAAAATTAAGAGAGAAATATACAGTGCATGGAATTTTAACCTAAGCCAAGAAAAAGACTAAAAAAGAAGCATTTATGGTATAAGATATAAAAATATGAGAAATCAAATGATAGATTAGAAAATAATATATAAAAACAGGGGCGCTTGGGTGGCTTGGTTGGTTAAGCATCTGACTCTTCAGCTCAGCTCAGGTCATGATCTCATGGTTTGTGGGTTTGAGCCCCGTGTCAGGCTCCATGCTGACAGCTCAGAGCCTGCTTGGGGTTCTCTCTCTCCCTCTCTCTCTCTCTGCCCCTCCCCTGCTCGCACTCTCTCTCTCTCTCTTCCTCTCTCAAAATAAATAAACTTTTAAAAAGGAAATAATATAAAAACAGATAAAGGATTAATATGTATAATGCACACAGAGTTCTTAGGTTGTCTTTATAATTTCTCATCGTAAAACAGGAAAAGGTATGAATGGAAAAAGGGTATGAATAGGCAGTTTACATAAGAGATCCAAAAGACCGGGGCGCCTGGGTGGCTCAGTTGGTTAAGCATCCAACTTCGGCTCAGGTCATGATCTCACGGTCCATGAGTTCAAGCCCCGTGTCGAGCTCTGTGCTGATAGCTTAGAGCCTGGAGCCTGCTTCGGATTCTGTGTCTCCCTCTCTCTCTGACCCTCCCCCGTTCATGTTCTGTCTCTGTCGCAAAAATAAACGTACATTAAAAAAATTAAAAAAAAAAAAAAAGATCCAAAAGACCAATAGGCTTTTGAAAAGATGTTCAATCTCACTAGTAGTTAGGGATGAAAATGAATTAACAATAAAGTATACATGACAAGGATCTATACCTACTTGGAAACATCATTAAAATAAAACAGTGTAAAAACAAGTTGCAGATAATACCTACAGTACATAATATACAAAATACTCAATACCTCTCTACATATGGGATACATGTATGTGACTTCACAGAAATAATCTAAGAAGACATTTACAAAACTGAGTATCAAGCACTGTTTGTAATTAAAACTTAAATAAAAATTGAAGAAACAGTGTCAAAAGCCATAGGACCCATAAATTTCACTCCTTGGTTTTGGGACATATGCTCACAAAGAAACTGGTGTTAAGAACATGCATAGCAGCTAAAATGAGAAACAGCCCCAAGGAAGAGATCAATACACTATGGTGATGGTCACACAATGGAATACACTCAGCAACAGTAAGGAACAAACCACCTCGAAGCAACATCGATGAGCCTCAAAAGTATACTGAGTGAAAGGAGACCAGACACAAGGGCGCATACTGTATGATTCTGTTATTTGAGGTTCTAGAATAGGAACATCTTCATCTGTGGTGGTAAAAATCTGAACATTAGTTGTTTGGGGAGAGGACTGACCAGGAATGGGCACGAGGCAACTTTCTGGGACAACGAAGTTCTATGTCTTGATAAGTGTGGGGGTTATATAGGTATGTGCATTTGCCAAAACAGATTGAATTCTGCACTTAAGATCTATGTATTTTGGTTCTGTAGAGATGTAGAGAGATGACCAGGGAGGATTACTGAGGTGCAGTTACCATTTAAAGAATGTGAACTTTTTTCTAACATTGGTTTTTAATGCCTATATTTAGAGAAGCTGCTCGAGAATGTCGCAGAAAGAAGAAAGAATATGTGAAATGCCTGGAAAATCGAGTTGCAGTCTTGGAAAATCAAAATAAAACTCTAATAGAAGAGTTAAAAACTTTGAAGGATCTTTATTCTCATAAAAGTGTTTGATTAAGAAAGAAAATATTTTTGCAGACTTGCCTAAAAATTAGATGGATTTCTTTTCTTTTTAGTGGAGTTTTATAAATTAAAAGGTCAAAAATGAAGCTTTTTATTTAGGCTTTTGCAACTCAAAGATAATCTTATGCAAGAGATCTGGTGACAGAAGATAAAGTGGAAAATGACCTCAAGGAAGTCACTATCACAGGTGGAAGCCCTGGAAAAATGAAACCCACTCAAGAAGAGGGAAGTGAGCTCTCACACCAATTTGAATTTCCTAAATGACAATAACCCAAAAATGCCAGAGAAGATGAAATTTGGTAAATTATTTTTAAAATCAGTTTACCCTGTAGGTTTGCATTTCTTACTGTTTCCTAAAATTTACCTTTTTCACTTTGTGTGTGTGCGCGCGCGAGTGTTTTATTTCTGCCAATAAATTTTAAATTACAAATAGAAAAGCTAATACATAACTAAATATATAAATTATGTGTTCTGATTACGTATACTTGTTCTATCGTCAGATCGTTGAAATGGGTTTTTTAAAGTTTGTTTCTTGGACTTGAGAGGGGTTTTGAGACTTGGGTTTAACTGTTTTTGAGGCTTTGTCCTCAAAGGCATTTAAGGTACATGAATGGAGTATGGTGATTTTGTAACATTTTTTATCAGGATGGAAAGAGAACTTCTGTTTAAAAGTTTGATACTTTTAAATAGTTTGTTTTTTGGTTACTCTGGGAATGGAGATTTTCTACAAATACATAATTGTTTTTTGATTCTATATTCTGTATGCAGTTGAATATACCTTACCTATTCTGTTGTGCTTTAATAGAATGGAATGTTTACAGGCCCTTGAGATATTAGAGTATTTTTTAAAAATCTTCTGAAGATACATACCAAAGTTTTCCAAGAGGATTTTATAATCAATTTAATGTAAGGTTTATCAGATTCTAAAATCGTATGGTTATTAAGGCAATTTTATGTTAGAGACTATTTTGTAATGTAGTGAATGGTACATTTCTAAGAAAAGTGACTGCCGATATATTTTTATAGCTAATCTTTATAAATTCTAAAGTTGAGTTTTTAATTATTTTAAATGTTTATATAGTTTAGTAAAAAAAATATTTTGCATCTCAAAAGTATCATTTTTATATTATGAGAAGTAAAGTTTCCAGATTGGCTAATATTTGAATTGCAAGTTTTGTATGCAGTTTATCCAAAGCTCAAGAATGCCATCCGTACCCCAGTGTTTAACCTCTGTATTCCAGTTTGTATACACTCTGAAATTGTACTGCAGAACTATTGTGCGCTTCTTACACAATATGTATCATATTGTTGTCTGTGAAATTAAAGGATATTTGATAAAATTAAGTTTGCTGAATGTAAAATATATTGTTATGTGAACAGCAAGCTTCCTGATGGCCATTCTGTTAATTATACTAACTACAGGACCTTTCTAGTTTTAAAATAGAGGATAAATTTAAAATTCTGGTCTACACAGCTTGTTTTAAAAAAAAATTTTTTTTAACGTTTATTAATTTTTGAGAGAGCATGAGTGGGGAAGGGGCAGAGAGACACAGAATCTGAAACAGGCTCCAGGCTCTGAGCTGTCAGCACAGAGCCTGACGCGGGGCTCAAACTCACGAACTGCAAGATCCTGACCTGAGCCAGAGTCAGATGCTCAACCGACTGAGCCACCTGGGTGCCCCTACACAGCCTGTTTTAAGGGCGGATATCTTTAGGTGTTTGATTCAGTCAGAACCAATTATAATAAACTAAAAGTAGCTAATTTTTTTGTTCTGCAATTGTTTATGGTTAAGGAACCTGTAATGTGGAAATCTCAACACAATTGACAAATTTGTGTAATCTTAATGGAAAACTCCATTAACAGTATTTTTTAAATGAGACTCTGTTGATTTGGCAGTTTATGAAAAGAAAAAAAAGTTTGATCACCAGTAGGATTACTTATATCACTTATTATTTGATATGAAGCCAAGAGTCTCAGGCCCATTAGGCCCGAAGAACATGAGGAGGTATGGGGTCAGTGTGTTATACCAAGAGTATTTTAAAAGGTTACATTATATATAGGGTATTTTACAAGATTTTAAGAGAGTATTTGTTAATGTTTGGCTGCCATAGAGATCCTTTAGCTTTTAATGCCTTAACAGGTGGACATCCACAAACATTTATAAACTTAACACTGCCTGCAGACTTCTGGTGTAGGGCCTTGCTTTCAACTAAATCAAGTTAGGCTAGCAATATGTAACAGGCATGAGCAAGCTACTACTGAATCCATAAATGCATACCAGATTATCTTTCAAGAGGTTGGTTTTTTAATTTTTTTTTTAATGCTTTATTTTTTATTTTCAAGACAGAGCAAGCAGGGGAGGGGCAGAGAAAGACACAGAATCTGAAGCAGGCTCCAGGCTCTGAGCTGTCAGCACAGGACCTGATGTGGGGCTCAGACTCACAAACCGCGAGATCATGACCTGAGCTGAAGTTGGGTACTTAACCAACTGAGCCACCCGGGCGCCCCAATGTTTATTTATTCTTGAGAGAGAGAGAGAGAGAGATACAGAGCACAAGTGGGGCAGGGGCAGAGAGAGAGGGAGCCAGAATCCGAAGCAGGCTCCAGGCCCTGAGCTGTCAGCACAGAGCCCAACGTGGGATGTGAACCCATGAACTGAGGTCACAATCTGTGCTGAAGTGGAACGCTTAACCCATCGAGCCACCCAGGCGACCCTCAAGAGGTTTTTCTAACTTGAATCCAAGAAGGGGCTTATGAAATCTTAAAAGTGATTATAGTCCAAACCTGAAATTACACTCCAAAAGTTCAATAGGCCAGTGAAATTATTTCATTGGCTTAGTTTTCTGTTTTACATATATTATCAGTTTATTATGGAAATAATTATTGTCCAACAGTCTTGAGTATATAAATTAAGATACCCCTTTAATTTTACTGTACTATGAATGGCACCTGTTGGAGCTTTGCAAATCTTAACTACAGTTGACCGTTAAGCAATGCAGGGGTCAGGGGCATAGACTTCTGTTGCAGTCAAAAATCAATGTACAACTTTTGATTCCCTAAGAACTAATACAAACCTACTGTTGACCAGAAGCAGCCTTACTACTAACAGTCAGCATATACTTTGTATGTTCCATGTATCATATATTGCATTCTTAGAATAAAGCTCAAGAAAATACTAAAATCACAAGAGAAAATACATTTCCAGTACTGTTACTGAAAAAAATCCATGTATATGTGGACCCATGCATTTGACACCTGTGTTGGTCAAGGATCAACCGTGTTTTGGTTCATTTAGCAATTATTACATTGAAGTTACTGTTTAAATCTGTGTTTTTCTCCAGTTAAAAAACATGGACATAGAAATAAGAATAAATGTTTATGGCTTGTAACTACATAGTTTTAATGGCAGTTCAAATTCCCAGAAAAGATGCTGTAAAAACGATATAAAGTGAGTGAAATTTGACCAAGGGCTTGATTTAAAGGAAAAGTCACAGGTTATAGTGAAACAATGTCAAAGTATATGAAACTCTAATTACATTTGTTATACAAAGTAGGTTTTTATTTTTTTTTTACATTTATTTATTTTTGAGAGACTGAGACAGAGTGCAAATGGGGGAGGGGCAGAGAGAGAAAGAGAAGCCGAAGCAGGCTCCAGGCCCTGAGAAAGCTGTCAGCACAGAGCCCGATGCAGGGCTCAAACTCACGAACCGTGAGATCGTGACTTGGGCCGAAGTTGGATGCTTAACAGACAGCCACCCAGGTGCCCCAGGTTTTTATTTTTAATAACTACTGCTGGTTTTTACTATAAAACAAAGGAACGCTTACCTCAAGGTTGTGGAATTCAGAAGCCTATCCTAGGCAGAGTTTGGCAAGAATTTTTTTATTGTTTATTTATTTTGAGAGTGAGCGTGCATGCACATGAGCAGGGGAGGGGCAGAGGAGACCGGGAATCCCAAGCAGGCTCTATGCCAGCTCACAGCCCAGAGCGAGACTCCAACCCACAAACTTTGAGATCGTGACCTAAGCCAAGATCAAGAGTCAGTCATTTAACCAACCGACTGCACCACCCAGCCACCCCTGGCAAGAGTCTTGAGGGATAGTCATTTAGAGGAGGCCTAGGCCATTTAACTTTTTTTTTTTTTTCAAGTTTGAGAGAGTACCCGCACATGAGTTGGGGAGGGGCAGAGAGAGGGAGAGTGAGAATCCCAAGCAGGCTCCGCACTGTCAGCTAGGATGGGACCCGTGAACTGTGAGATCATGACCTGAGCCAATACCAAGAGTCCGACGCTTAATCCACTGAGCCACCCAGGTGTCCCTAACATTTTTTTTAAAAGACCCATTCTGATAACTCTGTCCCCTTGTGTCAGTGTAAGTTTCTTTGTAGCAAACAGGTGTTAGAGATCAAGTCTTTATCATTTCATGATTGGAATCCTTTTCCTTAAAACTGACAGATACAGTTTGCTGCCTTCCGTAAGTATATATAACAGTTTTTAACTGGTAACTTATGTAAATATGTATAAGCTTAAATTGTTACAAATTCAGTTTCCTATATACATAATATACACAGTAGTACCATTTCTTTAATATCTACTGAGTGCAGCAAGCTTAGTAAATGTACCCAGAAGCTGTATTAAAGTAAAGCCATTCATTCATTCATTCATTCATTCGTTCAGATATTTATTAAAGGCCTCTTATACGTCAAGCTTTACTAGGGAAAGTGATGAATGAGGCAGTGTTACAACTCTTGTGGAATGTAGATATCTGTGTCATCCTGTGAGCTTGTTAACTTGCCTAAGATTATAGAAGTATTAATAATTAGGGATCTGAGACTTAAACCTAATAATATCTGACCATTCAATCGAAAATAGTAGTCTTGGGGCACCTGGGTGGCTCAGTTTGAGCGTCTAACTTCGGCTCAGATCATGATCTCATAGCTCAGGAGTTCGAGCCCCGCATCGGGCTCTGTGCTGACAGTTCAGAGCCTGGAGGCTGCTTCAGATTCTGTGTCTCCCTCTCTCTCTGCCCCTCCCCCACTCACGCTCTGTCTCTCTCTCTCTCTCTCAAAAATAAACATTAAAAAAAAGAAGGGCTCCTGGGTGGCTCAGTCGGTTAAGTGTCCGACTTCACTCAGGTCATGATCTCACAGTTTGTGAGTTTGAGCCCCTCGTCGGGCTCTGTGCTGACAGCTCAGAGCCTGGAGGCTGCTTTAGATTCTGTGTCTCCCTCTCTTCTCTACCCTTCCTCTGCTCATGTTCTTTGTCTCTGAAAAATACACATTAAAAACTTTCTTTAAAGAAGAAAAAAAATAGTCTTGGGGTGCTTGGCTGGCTCAGTAGAAGGAGCTTGCAGCTCTTGATCTCAAAGTTGTGAGTTCAAGCTTCATGTTGGGTGTGTAGAGTTTACTTAAAAATTTTTCAAAATAAAAGGGCACTAATCTCATTTACCAAAAAGCCCAGTAGTCTCTACTTGTACAACAAATCTAGGATTCATACCTAGGTGTGGCTCAACTCCAAAGTTTGTGGTCTTAACCACCAGAATGGACCTTCTTTCCTATCTGTGTTGTTGAAGAAATGTAAAAAGCTTTGTTCCATTGTATCTTTACAAAGATTTTTAAAGTTCTACTTAAATGTGTCCACTAGATGGCAACCTCCATTTTAAAATCACAGTTTTACAAACTTAAAACTATATAAACAACTACACAAGTTTAACACAAAATCCTTATACACCTACCATTCATAATAATAAATGTTAATGTTTTAGTTATCTTTACTTCAGATCATTTTCTGAAGCCTAATCCAATTTCCCCCCTCGAGTCCATGTTTTTTATTTTTTAAGATTTTATTTTTTAAAGTAATCCCTAAACCCAACATAGGGCTCAAACTTACAACCCTGAGATTAGGAGTCATAGATTCTACTGACTGAGCCAGCCAGGCGCCCCTAGTTCACGTTTTTATGTTTATTATATGAATCCATAAATAACACGTTAGAAGATAGTGTCTCTTTTAGAAGTTCATAAGTGATACCTTACTGATGTACCATTCTCTAAATGAAAGGTCAAGAACACCAAAGAAAATTTGGGATTTTATCTATGGTAATTTAATATGTTGTTTTGGGGGGAAAAAGCAGCATCAAAGATTTTTTTCCACTGGCAACAGATATTTAATATCACATCTGGGAAAAAAATGCTTGCCCCTGCCCCCAAATTTTTTTTAATTAAGGAAACATTGTGCAAGTAACAGTTGGGTTAAGTTTACAAAATGCTA